AGAGAGAGAGAGAGAGAGAGAGAGAGAGAGAGAGAGAGAGTCAAGATGGCATTTTCTCTAAACAGAAGGCAGTTATGGATAATAATTTATAAAGATGAAATTTAAAATGGAATAGTCATACTAAAATGAATATATACATATATTCATGGGTACATAAACACCTCTCTGGCCAACAACCAGAACAAACTACAAAGAGTAAGAGTCAGCAAGTCCAGGCCTACTGGATCCTGCAGTTTGGTCATTGCATTCCGTGAGTTAGTAAACATTTACATGCCCCCAGAACATAAAGAAATCTACAAGAAAAAATTAAAACCATTGTTCTTCTGTGCCCCCTGCTTACATGAATATGAATATTCAGGGAACAATAGAAACCAGACAGAGACTCCAAGCCAGGATGAGTGATCAGGAAGCCATTGGTTTAGTGGCATCTCCAAAACTGCTTTATGGCAAAGAGTGAGTAGAGACAAAAAGCTGTTTCTAAAATTAGACAGAGAGAAATGCATATTGTTGTGTATGATAAATCTGAAAGTCAAAAAATTAAAAGATAGTCAATAAATAATAAGAAATAAATGAGAAAATGAATTCACTCTGAATCATGCAAAATACATAAATGAACAGAAAAATACTTGAATATTAGCATGTTTAGCATTTTCAAAATTAAAAAAAATATATTTTTTTAAAAAGACAGAGAAATGATTACATGAAATGAGACAACAATGAAAGAAAATATTTATATAAAAATAATTTAAAAATCCTTATTAAAATAAAACTACAGTTTTTGCCTAGATAGAATAGTATATAAAATGACATGAAAATATATAGATGTTTAGTGTTATATACATAATTATATATAAACATACAGAAATTAAAATTTTAAATTTTGTTTATATATATATGTATGTATATATGTCATGTATACATAAGATATATATTAAAATATAGGTATTGAATATATAGAAATGTAGATAGAACTATATCTAGAAATTACATAGATTTAGTTATACATATAGACTATATAGATATAAATTATCCATACATTTAAAATTTATGTGTAAACATATATGTATATATACATGTATGATGTATATATGTATATGTGTATATATATATATGTATATGTTTTATATACACACACACAGATACAAAGAGAAAACAATAAAGAAACTGCATTACTTATAGACTGGACACAGAGAGATTTAACAAGTCAAAAGTAAAATCCATTAATTCAAGCAAACAAAGTTCAGATACATCAAAATTTTTAAACAACAAGCAATATATGTAGATAAAATTGCATGACAATTTTTCAAGGTTGAAAATATGTGGACCCTCACGATTAACATGAACACCAGGGACTTCCCTGGTGGTGCAGTGGTTAAGAATCACCTGCCAATGCACTGGACACAGGTTCGAGCCCTGGTCCGGGAAGATCCCACATGCCATGGAGCAACAAAGCCTGTGCACCACAACTACTGAGCCTGCGCTCTAGAGCCCATGAACCACAGCTACTGAGCCCATGTGCCACAACTGCTGAAGCCCATCCACCTAGAGCCCGTGCACCACAACAAGAGAAGCCACCGTAATGAGAAGCCCATGCACTGCAATGAAGAGTAGCCCCCACTCTCCACAACTAAAGAAAACCTGCGTGCAGCAACAAAGACCCAACGCAGCCAAAAATAAATAAATTAATTAATTAAAAAAATTGGCTATTATGAAAAAAAATAAAGAACACCCAAAGGCAAGCAGGAAATCAAATCTATACTTGAATATGCCAATTTAAAAGTGCTAAACCTCAAAGATAAAGAGAAAAACATATTTAATCAAAAGGAAAAGGCAGAATATTTAAAAAGCAATAATAATTAGATCTAAAGTAGATTCCTGTTAAAAAAGAAAAAAGAGATGACAGAAGTTGATAACAATTATATGCTCAAACTGCTAAAGGAAAAGAATTTCCTATTGTCAACATTCTCTATATTTAGTTAGCAGTGGTAAGCTATCAGGAATTAAGGGAGAACAGTTATTAAAGACTTTTTTCCAATGTATAAGAAAAGAAACTAAAATTTTTAGCTACTGACATTTTGACAAATATTGTATTAATCTTTGCCTTCAGGATCTCTGCAAGATATAATAGACAAAAAAGCCTTGCAATTAACATTTCATTTCAAATGTTAAAACTTGAAGAGTTAACACTAGAATAATAGTTAATAGAATAAGAATCTGTAATTTCCAAAGCAAAGAGAGATTTTTAAAAAGTTAAATAATAAAACTTATTTCATCAGTAGAACAGAGGTCAGAAAGTAGAATAAAAGATGCAAAATAGAAACAATGACAATTTTATTTGAAGTAGAAAGTAGTTCAAATATACCATAGTCACAGATTAAATATCATTTTTAAAGATATTTTATTTTAAAAATAGACTGTTATATGCTGCTTACAAGAGATATGCCAAATTCAAAATGTAGTAGGAAATTTTACATAAAAAGTTAGAAATATTTAGCTATTGCTTAAAAAAACAGCTATTGCAGAAAAAGAAAATAATTCCAAAACTAGTTTTCTTAAAATAAAGCACATTTATTCATTTATTTAGCTCACATTTCTAAGAATTAGCAATTTCTGATGGGTTCAGCTGGACAATTCTGCTAGTCTCAGGATATTTCAATCACTACAATTAATCAGCAGTGTACTGAATGTTCTCCTCAGTCCAAAAAGATAAAACAAAACAAAAATAGAACAAAAGAACAATAATAAATAGAAACAAATCATAAGATTATCATTGTTAACAAATGAGATGCAATTGTCTTT